ATACGGCTCCTTCTCTCCTCCTGTCGTGTTGTATGATCATGGTGGTTTCCCATGACGGATCCCATCTGGGTGAGGGTGTATGTGTACTTTCTTGTGTGAACAAGAAGAGGGTCGTATGTGTGGCATTGACCTGTGGTTCCCTTGTCTATGCATAGTACAGCTCCAGGTTCATCCCATCGTGGATTTCATCTGCAGAGGCCGTGGTTAAGTACAACAGATCAAGATGATAAAATAGTTCTGCCCCACTTTGTATTTAGCTTGGTACAAATTAACTTTCATACATAAGATTCATTTCACTGAAAACATTTTTTATGAGTTCATGTCGCAAAAATAAACACATCAGAAAAATGTTCCTTCTGCTTTTATATAAAGGAAAGTAACTGCTGTAGTTATCCGAAGTGTGTAAAGATAATTAGAATTAACTTATCACTGCTAACATATTCTGACAAACAACACAGACTGAGGGGAATAAATATGTCAGTCATTTTTTTAACCACGATCTCCAACAATAAATCATAACATGCAGCTGCGTGTATATTACAAGGGTCGCTTCATCCATATCAGTGGATGTATTTTCTGCCCTAGACAGGATAATAATAATTAACACAGCCACTGTGACATCACCCATTGTTCTGGAATCCCATTTCTAAGCCTAGAGAGGGCTGTCGTGTGTTTTTCAGACCACAAATGAGATAATTAACTTGCTAGACACTGCATGGTCCCCTCTGTCTCACTCCCTGCTGCTATGGACTGCTTCCCCAGGCTAAGAGCAGGCAGCAATTGGGAGACAGACCTTCGGTTAGCAGCTGTAGCAGGTCAAAATTTGGCCAGCATAAATCCCCCAGCCCCAGGTGTCACAGTGTAACAGAAAGTTTGTTGATCTGGCTGGAAGTTGGGGCTGTCATGTCCCCCGAATCTGAGATTTGCGCTGACTGAATTTGGGTTGCGGTGGCCACTGACTGAGGGTCTGTCTCCAGAGCTGCCGCCCACTCAAATCCCAGCAAGGTTGTCTGTGGCAGCAGGGAGAAAGCAGGAAGACACTGTGATTTAAGGCCATCTTTAACATTAGTTACCTTTGGCTCCAATTAGCAGGAGGCTAAACTATTAGCAACATTTTCTGTTCATTTCTGAAACTCTCCGCCGATACTGACACATACTTGTAAAGACTCTCTTTCTGTTAAGACCGTTTTGAAGGGCAGTTGTTGTCAGTGCTGGAAGAGCAACTTTCTCTGCAGGATTTTCCGCCAATAAATCAGGTTCTCACTGACGGAACATGCACGCACATCTGTATTTGCAAAATTGCATGACTGGCCAAAGTCTCCTATCACAGGTTGGATTTTCTGGAGCCAAAATACAGAGCCAAGAAGAGGAGCAGATGTCTAGTGTTCTCAGTCCACTTGAATTACAATATGCTTCAAGTTTAGTGTCGGACTTCCCCCCCCCCCATTGGAGCCAATATTAAACTGCCTTCCTGAGCTTTAATCACATGTAAACAGGTTAGTAACATACAAATTCGCCTCCCGTACAGTTGTCATAAATGGGGAAAGGAGCTAGAGAGACCAAATCCGTTTTTTGTACAAGGCTGTAAACATGTTTATTTCAGCTATAAAGTTGGGCGTTTTAACATGGTGTTCTATGGGAACTGTAAACGTTAACAGAACAAGTGGCCGTTGCAAGAACTACAGTTTTTAGCACCTCATGCTGGCTTAATTTTTCAGAGCCTTAGGTTGCTGCTTGGTATCTACAAATGCAAAAAGTTTTGGATGTATTTGCCCAAGTGGACCTGTGGAAATTAAAATTATCAGATGCTAACTTATTAAGTTTGAAAAGTAATAAGATCTCTATGAATCATCATCAGTATTACTACAGAGCTAGTGACAGAGTGGCTGAAAAGATTATTTAAGGATACAGTCACCCAATGACACATGGTCCTTGAATATGGTATACCTGTGGGAACAGAAGAGGGAAGTTTAGCTGCTAACAGAAGACAGCCGTAGAAACTCTTATCATGGGCAGTAATCCAGATAAGCAATTTACCATTTCTTTAATACAATCTTTTCGTATCGTGTTCCTGTCTGTGCAGCAATGAGCTTCTTCAGATCTCCAATTGTGTCCTCAGAGCTGAAACACCGTGATTAAGGAAGTAGCAACGTGATAGCACAGTGAAAAAAAAATCAGATACACACAATTTGTTGCTTAAATTTGCAAACAGAGCCCAGTTCCTCAAATGTGGTTTGACTAACCCAGGCACCTACTGTGGCTACAGACAGTGCATTTTACACAGAGCATTTGTGAGGAAAGTGAACTCAATACTTCTGGGTTTTGGATAGCAAAAAAAAAAAAATTATATAAAGATGTCATCTTAGGCTATAGGAAACTGGGTAATTTAAAAAACAATAATCTGCAGATTAATCTCTGATGAAAATAGCTGTTACAGTGAATATGCCTACACTGCTGCTGGGACGGTTTGGGTCTACTTGTTCCTTTAAAAGGCATCCCACAAAATCCCAAAATCTTGCATGCATCCATGGAAAATGGTGACCATATTGATTCATTGACTGATTGGGGGCTACTAGGGGTGCACGATAACTATCGGGCCGATAATTATCGGGCCGATAACAGGAAATTATTACGTCATTCCCATAAGTCCGCTATCATGACGAATAGCCCCGATAACATATATAATTTTGTCAGCACGGCAGTGCCCCGCTCCCACTATGAGACCTGAATGGCCTGCATAATCAGAAAAACTCTTTCTGACTGGGAAAATTCAAGAATACCCCCTCATGTCGGAAAACAACTCGTTAACTCGGTCATAATTTCACACAGACGCACACACTCTCTCTCTTTCTCACACATACACACACACGCACGCGCGCACACACGCGCACACTCTCTCTCACACTTTGCACGGTATACTGGTACCAACGGTAGACCGCGGCACTAAAACTCCACAGTACATATCGGTGTTTCCACTACATTCATTTAGCAGCGGCGTGTCGCTTGAACTTCTGGAATGAATTTTTTCAGTTTGTAATCCCCATGCATGTATTTGCATCAGTTCAAGGGGCCTTTATTTTTATATCAGTAAGTAATGCACCTTATTTAAATTGATGTTCATTTGAGATATCAAATAGTTTTTTGTTTGATATCTTTTCGAAAATGTTTGAGATGCTTGCCAATAGTTTTTCATTGGAAAAAATAAATATCTCTTATTTAAAGAGTCAAAACTGTTTTAGTTTTGATCATAGTATTGATGTCATGATCTTAGGTATATATATATATATATATATATATATATATATATATACGATGTATATGTGTGTGTGTTATCGGGTATCAGTTATCGGTATCAGCCTTTAGGAGCTGAAAGTTATCGGTTATCGGTTTAAAAGAAAAGTTATCATGCATCCCTAGGGGCTACAATTAACATCAGCAAAACTGTATCAAATATTGGTTAACAAACTTACACAGCTCATGCAATATTATCCAAGTCTCATTTATGCAGTCTTATGCTCAGTACTCTCCAAGCACATGCATATTCACGAAAGCATTACTATTTTTAAATAAACTGAAAGTGAAGCTCCAATACTGAGGGGTTTTTCTTTAACTAAAACCCATGTGTTTGGGAAGTGCTGCGCTTACAATTGGATAAATGAGACTTAAATGAGATTATACTGCATGAGTTGTGTGAGAGGATGTTTTGATATAGTTTTGCTGTTGTTAAACATGATCCACAATCAATCAATAAACCAATGTGGTCGCTGTTTTCTGTGGAGGCATGTGAGAAAAACAAAGTTTACTTGAATCAAGGTAACAGCATGACTGGCTGATATACAAAGGTAATTTTGTGGGTGAAGCTTCCCTTTAAGCGGAAGGGTCACTGCAAATCAATAACGAGCTGTACTGAGACATTATCTTCATCCTTCGATCAAATATTTCTACCCTGATAGGAAAATTATGTAAATCATATGCTTATGGCATTCCAGCCAGCAGATCTCAATATATTATTTCTCCTCATTATACACACACATTACAACTTTCCTGTTTACATTACAGTTCATTCACTTTGCAATTACTGTACATCTGTCTACCACAAACATATAGTCTAGTTTTACTTGTGTGAGATTTTTCTGAGATAGATAGATAAGTATATATATACACATACACACACACACACCTTAGATACAAGAGTTTCATCAGAAACAACTACTTTTCTGTAACTGTTGCTAATGTGACACTTGAAACGTATCAACTCTTCAGCTAATGCTAACTCCACGTTAGCCTTACGCGGGCCCAGGTGTTACACATGTGGCAGGATGCGATAGTCCGGATTATCGCCACAGTTTCAGTGAAGGATACTTGCACTTGACGCGGACTTTCTTGCCCAGACGATCGTTGCAAACAACCTCGATCATCTTCGGTTCCTGTAAGCAGAAGAAAATGAGACAGAGTTAGCATAACATGTGAGGGTTGCGTCGCTTAAAAGCATCACCCACACAACTTTGGGCAGTAATACTCGTACACATAGCTAGTTAGAAGCTATAGCTAATGTGGTTTAATCACAGTGTGCCACAGAGAAGAAAAGGGGGCTTTAAATTCAGTTCATAACAAACAGGTTTAGTTTGACGTTTGCTAACATTAGCTAGCTAACGTTACAGCTCACAACGTCGCTACTGTACAATATTGTACAGACCGACGTGCATCATGTTACAAAGCACACACGGAAACCTACATCTTGCCTTTAAAATGCCGAGTACGGTTACATCTACAATAACAATGTGTCTAATGTGATATTCCTACCTGGAAATTCACAACAGAATAACGAAAACCACCGTGTCGATTATATTTTCTGGAACGCTCTGTGTCCTGCTGATGCAGTTGCGTAGCTTACACTTTCGACCAATCAAATGCGCGCAGTGATGATTGACAGCCCGAATCAGCCTATGACAGGACAGATAAAGGCGGGTCCTGATTCTGAAAACAACTCGTACCGTAAACACAGTGCCAACTGTCGTAGTGTACTTAGCTAAGCTGCAGCCCAACCTGTCACACGGTAGCTTCATTGAAATTAAATTTGTAAAACGCTGCTACTGACACAAAATAATGGCAGACGAGGAGAAGTTACCGCCAGGGTGGGAGAAGAGAATGAGCCGCAATTCAGGTAATGAACACACAAGAGGAAACTAATACTGGCTACCTTGCTAAATGGTGATATGTCAGTAAACTTAGCTAACTAGCTAGCAGCACCAGCACCGTGTACTACTGTTGAAACGAGGCAGATGGGGGTGTAACTTTAATGGCGATATGCTGAAACTAGTGATGGGTATCTCGGTGTTATAGGTGTGTTTTGTTAAATGTGGTGTTTGGCTGTTATTAGGTGTGTTGTTTCATGATTGCGCGCCAGGGCTGATCCATTCAACCTGGCTGCTGCAGGGCCCTGCATGACGTCATACTGCTCCAGAGCTTCACGTGCAGCCTCAGCATTATTTTTACTCCTTTATGTTGGGTTGCAGAAAAGCTTACTACAGTCCGGTCCCATTTAAAACATAAATCTTTAATAGTTTACCCTTCTTCTACACAGCTGTGGCTCATAGGCTGCAGCACAACAGTGGTGGAAGTATTTAGATCCTTTATCTGAGTATTACATATTAACACAACACTGTGAAAATACTCTGCAAGTTAAAGTCCTGCATTCAACACCTTACTTAAACAGAAGTATGTAATTACGTATCAGCCAAGCATACTTACAGTATCATAAGCAGAAGTAGTCATTCTGCAGTAAGATGTTCCCTGTCAGTGTTTTACTGTAAAATGTGATGTTTTTGGAATATGACTGATGCATTAATGTGTATGTTGTATTTCACTGCTGTAGATTGAGCCTGTGCTAATTTTATGTTATTGATATTTTGTCAGTAAGTTTAATCTACAGCAATGCATCATACTCTGTAAGATCATCATATCAAGGATGCACCATATCCCATATGCCGATATGTAACAACTCATTTGACCAATATCAATATATCCACTTTTTTTCCCCACCTAATTTTAGTGATCATCAAGTCGTGGAATTAAAATCATACTGTACATGCATACTCTTATCATGATGGCCCACCAGCAGATGAAGTATAATACTTCTCAGTGCATATAATATTCATTCATTGTGCAAATTTAAAAAAAGCATGATGGCCGATTCTGATAGTTCATTTTAAAGCCAATATCGTCCGACACAGATGATGTACTGATACTATCAGCATTTTGGCTGATTCTGCTGATGTGCTGATTTACACTACATCATAACTTTGTAGCTTCACTGTCCTCTGAGAACCACAAATTTCTAAAAAGTCAACTTTTCATGGTGTCTGAAAAACAGCCCAGTTTTCAGCTTTGTGAAAATGCATTTTCCAGCTGATCCAAGAGGATTTTCATGTAGCCTAAAGGTCCAGTATGTGGCATTTTGGGGCCTCTATAGGCAGAAATTGCATATAATATTCATAGCTATGTTTTCCCATATTTTTTTCATAGCCACATATTTTCCTCAGGGGTCAATGTACACCAAGATGGAGCTCAAAGCAGAGTGAATTTTGGACTCTGGGCTGGTTCTGATACCTCAACTCAGGCTCAACAGAGTTCCAACACTCCCCTTTTCCCACATTTAAAAGCAGTACATCTTATTATGAAGAACTCATTGGAAAATATATTTTATGTGATCTATTGTGACTACATTAAAACAACTGATTACAGAAACCCTTAATGTCATAAGATGATATGACATGATAATGTGGATCAGTCACGTCAGAGCCAGTACATGATCTGCTAAATGAAGCTAATATTGCTATTGAGGTCTGTTCCAGCAAACTCTGAGTCTAACCTAACCCTGAGCTCTGAGTTAATGAACCCTGAGATGGAAAACTCAGTTTTCAGTTGATCACATTGTTCAATCAGCTCTGACTATGTTCACTCTCAGTTATGAGTTACGTGCAGTGAATGAACAAATCCATCAGTGGAGCTCCGATACTATGATTCACCATGGCAACAGGTACATAAAGGACAGAGCCTCCATTTAAATCCAGTCAATATACAGATATTAATGATTGGGATTGTGAGCTCTGCCGCTGGAGCTCGGCAGGATTATGATTAATTTGTCATGTATGTGTGGGCCTGTATGTGCACTGTGTATATTTATGTTTGTTTGTTTTTTTTAAAGAGCCTTAGTCAGAGCGGGGAGACATGTTGATAAGTTGACGCAATAAAGTTTTATCAAGTGTTTACATTAATTAGTCATTTCGGCCATAGCCTACATTACATTTGTAATATATTTGTTCAGCTGTAGTCTGACGGTGACAAAACACAGAAGCCAGCAACTGAAAAATTAGATTAAAATACATAAATCAAAGACCGAGACATAATTGTAATCAGATCCAGTAATAATGTGGCTGGTGATTTGCACTTTAGTAGAGCAACAGGCCACAGTCGAGCATCCATTGGTTTTATTTCAGCTACTTCAAAAAATGCAGTAAATTAAAACTGAGATGCTGTTAAAACAGGTTCAGACTCTATGCAGTCTTTTTAAAAACTCACTTTCATTCTGCAGCTGCACCACGATCCTGCTCACTCAGAAATTTTAACATGTAATCTCATATATTAAAGGAATTATTTTCCATCGGTGCGACCAGTCACATCATGAGAGATGGAGATTATTATCGGTTGATCTGACTAAAGCTTCATACTGATTTTTTAACTAAGATGACACATTATGTCCGACAAACATTTTAGTGGGACTGCTGTAACAAACTGACAGCTGTCTGCAGTGACGTGAGGGCGACTTGATGCTTTGTGATATTTTCATGTGAGGGCAGAAATGACTGACAGCACATTAAAGCAGTAACTTAAGATAGTCCTGGGTAACAAACTAAAACCCAACCAGGATTTAGATTCTGACATACAGTAAACCTTTAATGATGTGCTTTGATACAGACTGAATCATGATAAAATGAAACAGCGTGTCTGCCTTTGTAAGAGGGAGGAAACTGTGAGAAACTCAGGGTTTGCTGAAGAAAACCTGCCAGCAAGCAGGTTAGGTTTTAAGTTACTTCTCTTTCTGAAACTGAAAACCCAAGTTTCCCTAAATCTCAGGATTAACCGGGCTTTCACTAATCCTGCCTTTTGGAATACAGCCCTGGGCTATTAGGTCAGTGCGTCCCCAAACACAGTTGCCATATCAACTTTGTAAGGTGTTAATATTGAATGTTCTGCTTTTTCTGCTGCCTCCATTTGTTTAAAAGAATCAATGAATGCAGCTTTAATGACTGTCTCTTCTTTGCCCTCCAGGCAGAGTGTACTACTTTAATCGCAACACCAATAACAGCCAGTGGGAACGTCCAGTGGGAGATGGCCGTGGAGAGCCAGATAAGGTTATTATGTGTAGTATTTTATATGCACTTTTCATTATAACAGTAAACTTTTATTAGAATCAGAAAGTGCTTTATTTCAAACTGGTTTTCACATACAAGGAATTTGCTTTGGTGTACAAAATAAACAGGATCAGGACAGGTCAGGAAAAATGACATTCAAAATAAAAGCAAGTATTGCAAAAGTAAATAAACATAAATATAGAGTAGAAGGAAATTATAGTAGAAATATTTGAAAAAAATATACGAGTTAAAATGACTGCTTTGTAGTTTTTAGAAGTGGTAGTTTTGTGCATAAATTTGCAAAATTGTTGAAGGAAGGAGGTTCACACTACAAAGAACAAAAAACGCTTTCGAAGTAAGTGTTACAAAGTGCTTTTTAACATAAGATAAAAGCAAGTCTGACAAAGTTTAGTAATGTGATGATTAAATTAATGAGTGGACGGGGCTTTATGAAGCTTTGGGACTTCCAACTGAAAAGAGGTAACAGTGACATCTGGTGCTTTGCAGAAATATCGCAGCTCTGTAAGACTGCTGAGGCAAAGCACTTCGACACCCTGCTGACTTTATACTGATGTTTCAGTCCTCCTCAGCAGTCCTTTATTTAACTTCATAGTAACAGTTATCTCTTTAGTAGATGAGTATTTCAGTCCACAGCAGAAGACTTGAAAATATCGAGATATATATTGTGTATCGCCATATAGCTTAAAAATATTGCAGTATTATTTATTGTCCATGTCGCCCAGGCCTACCTGTAGTCTGTTACTGCTGACTGCTTTTCACTTTACATTGATGATTAATTTAATTCTTATCCAATGTTACTGTTTGTACACACTCTGTTGATTGCATGTTTCTCATAAACTGTACCATTAACGGTTCCTATCTTTAGAAACTCTTTGTCAGAGGGAGAAAGAAATCAAACTGGGACATCCAGGACATTTTGTTATTTGTAGACTTTGTCTTCATCATTTGATCATACACACTGCCAGGACCAAACTGTTTGAAGTACATTTGTAAGTTCGATTTTTCTGACCAATATTAAGATTTAAATTTCTGTTTCCTTCTATAAACTCAACTCCGAGTCTGTTTTTGTGGTCTGTACAGTATTAAACAGGGCACACCTTCACTTAACTTAAACACAAGCGTATTTGTACATGAGTAGAAGGAGCTAAAATTGCTCAGTTGCTTGTGGTCAAGGTCCTCAAAGGGTTGTTGGGTTTTTTTCTCCAGTCAGTCACTTCTTCTAACACGGCTAGTTTTCTGTTGAAAATTAATTTTGTTAATATTTCTGAATATACTCCATGCTTGTGTGCTTGACATTGCTGCATCTAACAGTTATTCTCTTTATTAATTAATCAGTTTGTTTACTGTTGTCATTGTTTTATATATTCGTTTATAAAATGTCAGAAAATAGTGAAAAATGTCAGTCATAACTTCCCAAAGCTCAAAGTTACAAGATTTTTATTTATTATGTCTGTAGATTTTGTTCAATCAACAATCCAAAACCCATAGATTTTAAATTTCAGAATGATAATGAATAAAGGACCTCTAAATGTACTGAACACAATGAGATACTACGTTCAATGAGACACTAGATCAAACTTATTCAGTCTTTTTTTGTTTAATTCTGTCTGCTTGAATTTTCATCATACAGTACAGTGAAGGTAAAAACATCCCATTGATACACCTACAGTGAACGATATCTATAGCAACAAGCATCATAAAAAATGAGTCTGTGAAAACAGATGTAGGGTGTGTTCAACTTGAAAAACCTTTTTGTTCTCACGGCTGCCTTCAACATTTTTGGTCAGTACTTGTTGACACACCTCATTGTTTAGATAGGTGCCTGAGGCAGGGCGGTTTTATTACTTATAATTGAGTTTGCATGTTCTCCCTGCGTCAGCCTGGGTTTTCCCCAGGTACTCTGGCTTCCTCCCACAATTCAAAGGTTAATTGGTGACTCTAAATTGTCCGTAGGTGTTAATGCGAGCATGAATTGTTGTCTGGGTTAATGTGTCGGCCCTGCGATAGTCTTGTGACCTGTCCAGGGTCTACCCTGCCTCTCACCCAGTGTCATATGGGATAGGCTCCAGCCCCCTCACGACCCCTAACAGGATAAGAGGTTATGGAAAATGAATGAATGAATATAATCAAAAGCCCAAATTTATTCAGTTTATTATCATGAAAAGAAAATCAGAAAATCATCTCAGTTGAGAACCTGGAACCAGCAAATATTGAAAAATTGCCCAAACAATTAATCAGTTACCCAAAACATGCTAGTAACGGCGACTGACCATTAACTAATTATAATATTCAGTTTGATGTTCTTCCAGCTCTTCATTAAAATGATATGGTATTTACTCTGAGAGAAAATTCAACCCAAGGTCGCTCTACTCCATCAGATGGAAATATTCAAGATTCCTTGTGCATCATTTCACTACATGCACAAAATTTAGACATAATGGCATCTTTGGAGACTTCGGCGTCTCCATTAGAATTTCAAATTGAGTTTACTGGGTTTACACAAAGTTTGGGTGCACAGTGTTGGTTTATGACTTATTTACATTTATAGCTCCTGAGCCAATCAGTTAATGGTGTATAAATCTTTATGACTTCCATTTACCGCTCAAGTAAGAAACTCAAAACACTTTATTAATATCCACTCACTTCCTACTGAGCCATGAAGTCCAAAGTCATGTCAGTAAATCCCTAAAGAGTCACGTGTTTCTCTTAACAACATATTGGTTTAAGTATTAATTATCTGTAAAGCATCAGTAAATGCTTTATAAACAATGATAAAGCATTAGTTATAACTTATAAATCATTATATGTCTTATTAGAAAGTGGTCCTGGCCTATCTAAGAGACAAACAAAGACTGGCACAACTCAGCAAACACATCTTATTGATTCTGATCAGTTTGTTTCTTCACTCTCTCACTCAGGTACGCTGCTCTCACCTCCTGGTGAAACATAATCAGTCACGACGTCCATCTTCTTGGCGGGAACAAAATATCACACGGACTAAAGAGGAGGCCCTGGAACTCATACAGAGTGCGTAAGGCATCAAGGAGGGAGTTTGGGGGAGGGGGGGGCGTGATCAGGTCTGATCAGCATCCTGACTTTGTTCTTTATTTCTCTGTTGTGAGCAGAATACATAGAAGAGATCAAGTCTGGAGAGGAGAAGTTTGAGTCCCTGGCTTCTCAGTTCAGCGACTGCAGCTCAGCTAAGAACGGTGGAGATTTGGGATTATTTGGCAGAGGTACACACACACACACAAACAAGTGCTAACCCTATTCATAGATACATAAGTCAGCTCAACTCATATTATTTATAAAGCACATTTAAACACAACTCACATTGACCAAAGTGCTGTACAGAAGGAATATAATGCCAAAAACACATACACGACAGGCAACACAACTGTCAGGTACACAGCTTAGTGACACAACACACACAGGCCTGTGTTTTGAGCCTCAACATCAATAGTGGGGGTGGATCTGATTGGGAGCGGGATGCTGGTCCACAGTTTGGGGGACACACAGCAACGGCACGATCACCACTGAGCTTAAGTCCGGAGCGTGGGACAGCCAGGAGCCCCAGGTCAGCTGACCTAAGGGACCTGGGCGTAGAGTAGGGGGTTAGAAGGTCTGCCATATAGGATGGGGCCAGCCCATTTAGGGCTTTCTACACAATCAGGAGAACCTTAAAGTCAATTCTGAGCTTTATAGGCAGCCAGTGGACAGAGGCTAAAACGGGTGTGATATGGTCTCTCCTCCAGGTTCCTGTGAGGAGTCTGGCAGCGGCATTCTGAATAGGTTGGAGGTGAGACAGAGAGGACTGATTAATACCAGTGTACAGAGATTTATTGTAGTCTGAATGGGAGAAGATGAGAGCTTGGGTGACTATTTGCAGGTCTTTGAGGGAGAGAAATGGCTTGATTTTGGAAATGGTGCACGTTGAAAAAAGCTGGCTTTTACTGCTGCATTTCTTTACTGAGCTGGTCAGAAATCCCTTCGATTGAGTCACGGGGGCAAAGAGGACTTCTGATTTGCCCTCTTTCAGCTGAAGGACGTTCTGTGCCATCCAATTCTTTATGTCCTTGAGGCAGCCCACAAAAGTTAAACAGATATGCCATAAGTTGCTAAGTATGTTTTAATATGTTGGGTTTTTTGTCAGCTTATTTATCAGGATAACACTGACAAACATTGTTACACAAGAAAAAGAAATGCAAAAGATGTATTGTGATATAGTGTCTATCTGAAGCTAATCTGCTGCTCTGTACATAATGAATACAGGATAAAATAGAGGCGAGTTACAGAAGTGTGGGTTAGCGGATAAGTCTGGTTAATGTGTATTAATCTGCAGCTGAAAATAGTCTCAAACGGGACATTTTAGGAAATTATTTAGTCTTTTTTTAAAGGAAGCTATTTATTTGTGACTGTTCTTACAAGATATCTGTCTTAAGTAGGAACAAATGAACTTGTGGCTGAGTGGCACAGGCTGGGTAGGAAATTCAGAAATAATTTGGAAACTAATGTATTGTTGGTTTTGGTCTTTTCGTGGCATTTGTTGACAATATCATAATGAAGAACAAAAACTGGATTTACCTCCAGGAAGAGTTTTAGTGCAGGAAGTTTTACTTTGGTAGGTAAATTTGGTTCATGAGCACTGTTGGTAGGCACCTGTATGCCCTAATTAGCCAGGAATTTAAAAGGTCATTCCACCCAAGTGAGTGCTTTCACTCCATGCACAGAGTTTGTGTGTTGTTTGCCAAAGTTTTGTTTCGTTTTCGTTTTGTTTATTTCTGGCACCGTTGCTCTTATTTACCAGCACTGTGGTGGCAAGTTTTCAGCTTAATAGCAATTACTGGCCATGCCCATATGACACGCCCAGACTGAAAGTGAAACCAAATAAACAATAAAAGTTCAATAATGAATATTGTAAAAGATGATTAAAAAATAAACTAGAATTGCCACCTTGCAGTTGCATGCCTTTGGGAACCAGTCAAGTTGCTGTTGCAGTTTACATCCATGTCTGTCCAGACTCACATGTAGCCATGACAGCGGACAATGCTTCAAATGTTGCTGCACTCAGAGAAGCTGTATATTCTAAAACATGGATCTTTAACACACCTCCCCCTGGCAGCAGTGGAGCACTGAAGATCTATACACCACAATTTCAAGGTGGACAGATATGATCAGTGTCACCAAATCAGAGTCAGACCAAATGTCCCCCCATCTGTTCCTGAGATATGACGTTGAATAAAGGCCAGAAAAGTGTTTATGCAGAACATTATGATTCACTTATTCATTCATTTTCTGTAATCGCCTGTCCTGTCGGGTTGTTTGAGGGGGGTTGGACTCTATCCCAGCTGACATTGGGCGAGAGGCAGGGTACACCCTGGACAGGTCACCAGACTATCACAGGGCTGACACATAGAGACAGACAACCATTCACATTCACATTCACACCTACGGACAATTTAGAGTCACCAGTTAACCTGCATGTCTTTGGACTGTGGGAGAAAGCTGGAGCACCCACGCTGACACGGGGAGAACATGCAAACTCCACACAGAAGGGCTCCCCCATCCCCAGGTTCAAACTCTCTTGCTGTGAGGCAACAATGCTAACCACTGCATCACTGTGCCGCCAGGATATTATGACATCACAGTAAAGTTGACCTTTGACCTTTTGGATATAAAATTTTTATCACTTCATCATCTTATTCTATTGGACATTTGTTTGAAATTTTGTCAGTATTAACATGATTTGTGAGGTCACAGTGACCTTGACCTTTGACCTTCAACCATCAAATTCTAATCAGTTTATTCTTCAGTCCAAGTGCATGTTTCTGCCAAATTTGAGGAAATTGTCTCTACAGGCCTGCCTGAGATATCCCATTCATGAGAATGAGACAGACGCGAGTTCACTTTGACCTTGACCTTTGACCACCAAAATCTTATCAGTTTATTGTTGAGCCCAAACTGACGTTTTTGCCAAAATTTCGGGAAATTCCCTCAAGCCGTTGTGGAGATATTGCATTCATAAGAATAAAATGGACACAGGGTTACTGTGGCCTTGGCCTTTGACCTGTTACCACCAAATTATGATCAGTTAATTTTTGAGTCAAAGTGGATGTTTGTCCCAAAATTTGAAGAAATTCCCTCAAGGCATTTTTTAGATATCACGTATACAAGAATGGGACAGACAACCTGAAACCATAACACCTTCAGCTACTGGCAGCGCAGAGGCATAAAAAGAGTCTTTCAAGCAAACGCAGGAATTTATGCACACACACGCCAGATGATAATGTACAAGATACTCTATGTTTGACTTTTGACTTGAATGTGGATAACCATTTTATTACTTTAATATACAACGTGTGTTTTTGTTTTAGGTCAAATGCAGAAGCCTTTTGAAGATGCTTCCTTTGCTCTCAAAGTGGGAGACATGAGCGGTCCTGTTTTTACTGACTCTGGAGTCCACATCATCCTACGCACTGGTTGAAAGGAAGAAGCCACATACTGTACTTTCCTCTTATGTCTTCTCTCTCTCTCACACACACACACACACACACACACACACACACACACACACTCAGTCCAACCCAACCAGACCTGATTTATTTTAATGACACGCACCACCCAATAAACAAAGCATATGGGCCGAGTCGCATCATTTTAAGTGGGATCATTTTGTTCCAAGCACTATTTAACGTATGAATACTTAAATCACACTGAACTTTAAGGAGTACCGCAGATTATTCCTGTAAGACCTCAAGCTTTTATTAACCATGGCAATGCCATTATATAAAATCATGAGTGCCTGTGACTCTGTTGAAGTGAGTGGAAACAGTTTCACACGATGCGCCAAGTTTGAGAATGCGTCTGTAAAAGCTTGTGTTTGTATGTGCATGTCTTTAAGAGGACCATTTACTGTATGTTTCCCTGTAACCTTTTCCATTTCTACAGTATGTGTGCCAAAGCAGTTCCCTGATCTTGTTTTGGAAGATGGATTCATGAGATGTTTAAAAGACTTATAGCCATTGCAGACCACTGCAGTTCATAAAGGCATTGCTGTTCTGAGTTCTCTACATTTAGCTTTGATTTAAATTGGTTGTCCTTTGCAGGTATCCAGTAACATAGAACCATTTGTTTTCATAATCCACTGTAAAAAAAAGTGCATGCCCCCCTCCCCCCCAAAGGATATGCAAAGATGGCATAGTTAACAACCTCCAGGTTTTAACAATCAGCTCTGCAGCTTTTAAAGGCATCAAAGTTCAGATGAACTGTTACACTGTTGTGTGATTGATTGGAGTTTTTCTTTCATCAATAAAAAAAAACTGTTTTTGTAAGTGTCGTTTTGGGGTTTATTTAGAAAAGAATGAACTGCTGGACAAAGTTACTGTAGGAAACTGCTCTGATTAATTGGGTCACCAAACCTGCAGCTGAAACTGCCATGTGTGGAATAAACAGAAGCAACAACATGAAAACCAAGTGAATTTTAAACAGAATAAGATAACAATACCAAAGATCATTTGGACTTTAAAGGGATAGTTTGGATTTTTGAAGTGTTGTATGAGTTCTTCATCCTTCATCGATGTATAACCACCCCTGAGTTCAGCAATGTATTGCTGTGGAGGAGGGCAGCAACAAAATGTATTTTAGCCACCTAAAAGATTGATTGCATTTTACACTATATTTAGAATATTTTCACAGCTTTACCTTGCCATCAGACAGGGATTTCTAACAGTGAACCAAAGCTGGTGTATCACTTTCTTCAAAGTGAGACTCCACTTTACCGTTGCTGGATACAGAAGCTGCTGATCTGCTGCTGCCTCGATCAGTTAGTTTATGTGATTGTGCGACTTTGGCCTCTAAAAGGGTTAATTCACATTCACCAAAGTCGCACAATAACACAAACAAGCCCCACTTGTAGTCCGTGTAACTGCTGACAGCTTGTCACATTACACTGGTGATGAAGTTGATTCTGATCCAATGTTGCTGTTCATACACACCCTGTTGATCGCATCTTTCTCATAAACTGTACCATTAACCGTTCCTATTATAAGAAACTCTCTGAGAAAGAAATCAAACTGGGACATCCAGGACATTTTGTCATTTACAGAATTTGTCTTCAGCATTTGATTATACACGCTGCCAGGACCAAACTGTTTAAAGTAAATGTGTTATTGGGATTTTTCTGACCAATATTAAGATTTAAATTTCAAATACTTTCTATAAACTCAACTCCGGGCCTGTTTTTGTGGTGTGTACAGTATTAAACAGGACACACCTTCACTAAACTTAAACACAAGCGTATTTGTACATGAGTAGAAGGAGCTAAAATTGCTCAGTTGCTTGTGGTCAAGGTCCTCAAAGGGTTGTGTTTTTTTTTCTCCAGTCAGTCACTTCTTCTAACATGGCCAATTGACCAGTTTTGTGAAGATTTATAAAAAATACTCCATGCTTGTGTGCTTGACATTGCTGCATCTAACTGTTATTCTCTTTATTAATTAATCAGTTTGTTCACTGTTGTCATTGTTTTACATGTCCGTTTATAAAATGTCAGATAGTTCAATAAGCTCAATGTGACAAGAGTCGCAGCTATTTATTATTATGTCTTTAGATGTCTTATTTTATTCAATCAACAATCCAAAACCCAAAGATTTTAAATTTCAGAATGATAATGAATAAAGGACCTCTACATGTACTGAACACAATGAGATACTACGTTCAGTGAGACACTAGATCAAACTTATTCAGTCTTTTTTCCCTTTATCTATGTGAATTTTCATCATACAGTATAGTGAAAGTAAAAACATCCCATTGAGATATCTAAAGTGAATTATATCCATAGCAACGAGCATCATAAATATGAGTGTGAAAACACAAGCAGGGCGTGTTCGACTCAAAAAACCTTTTTGTTCTCACGGCTGCCTTCAACATTTTTTGTCAGTACTTGTTAAAGGGACACACCTCATTGTTTAGATACATACCTGAGGCAGGGCAGTTTTATTAATTACTTCTAATATTAGTTATTCTTTTGTGTTTAGGAATTAGGCTGACCTACAATCCAAAGCCCAAATGTACAGTACAGGCCAAAAGTTTGGACACACCTTCTCATTCAATGCGTTTTCTTTATTTTCATGACTATTTACATTGTAGATTCTCACTGAAGGCATCAAAACTATGAATGAACACATGTGGAGTTATGTACTTAACAAAAAAAGGTGAAATAACTGAAAACATGTTTTATATTCTAGTTTCTTCAAAATAGCCACCCTTTGCTCTGATTACTGCTTTGCACACTCTTGGCATTCTCTCCATGAGCTTCAAGAGGTAGTCACCTGAAATGGTTT